TTCCTGCCTGGTGATAAAATGTTGCCTCGACTCCTTCTTGCCCGCCCATTGGGCCGCGCCACGCCAGGCATCAAGTACACAGTCCCCAGCTTTTCTCACGTTGATGGTTTGTTCAGCGGGGAGCACGGCACGGAGTTCAGAGCGCAGGCGTTCCTCGAAACCCTGGAACATGGTGTTGCCACCTGTGAGGAAAATGTCCTTCAACACGTCGTCGCGGTGGGGCGAATCTGCCAGTCGCTCTGTGAGGATATTCGAGGCAATTTCTACGATACCAGCTTGGTCGAGACCTGCGATTGTCGGTTGGAAGACGACTTCGGGAACGCGGATGCGTTCAACGTTGAGGTGGATTTGGTTCATTTCCCTTTGGGACTCGGCGTCGTAAGGGTAGGGACCGTGGAGGAAGGAATGGAGGATGGATTTTGTCCAGTCTGTTTGTGCTTCGCGGGTTGATTCTTCGGTGAAGTCGGGGTCGTGTTGGAGAAGCTGGGATTCGATTTCTTTAAGATTCTTGGAGAGATCTTCTTCTTCTTCGTCATCGGAACCTTCACCTGTAGCAATGGTGCGGTAGACGCCCCAGTCTGCATCGTCGGCGCCAAAGGTGTCATCATCACCACCACCTCGTCGCCGCTTCTTGGTGGGTGCGTCCGAGGCAAGGTTGGCGATGGACTTCATTCGCATTTGGTTGGCGAGCGACTTGCGGTTTCCAAGTTCAGCCTTGAGACGCTCACGGTCCTTCATCTTCTGGATAATGGCTTGGCGAGCTATCCGGCGCTCTTCTATCCAGCCTTGAGGATCGGTTTCCCGCCGTTGGTCGTCAAGTCGTTGCTCTTCTGCTTGCCGTGCCTTCTCCTTCTCCTTTTCAATCTTCGCACGTTGGCGTGCATCGTAGTTTGACTTCATCAATCGTTGCTGTCGCTTTTGCTTGATACCCTCCTCGTCAAGCTGATCATCCGGAACCTCCAACAGGGGGAATGTAGGTGCTTCGACCTGCTCCTCCTCTACATCGCCAAGGTCCTTGTTACGAGCCTTCTTGATGGCAGCTTCCAGTTCCTTGACTCGTTTGTTGAGCTGATTCTCGTCATCGAAGTCATTTGACTCCAGTACCCGTGCCTTTTCCTTTTTCGTGGTAATCTCTTCCAGCTGCGTCTGCAACTGCAAGCACCACTCCAGCTCTTCTTCCTTCTTCTTCAGCTTCTCCAGACGCATCTTTGCCGCCTGGGCCTGCAGCCTACGACCACTCTCCTTGCGCTTTTCCGCTGCAGCTGCCAGCTCTTCCTCGGTCTTTTGCACCACTATCTGCTCAGTATAAGGGAACTGGATTGTATGGTCTCGGTCTTCTAGGCCCGTCCAATCCAGGTAGCGGCTGAGGTCATTCTCGTAGTCTTGTGATACATAGCAATGCTCTCGAACGAGGTCTTCAGCCTGGTTGTCGCTAATCTTTCCGGGGAATGTAGGGTACTTCAGCCTCAGTAGCTTGAGCAGGTATTGCGCGGACTGGAAGCGACCCCAGTTCAGACGCGTGGTTTGCGACAACAAGGGCTTGGAGTTTACTACGGGAATAATGTGCGTAGAGGTGTACGAAGAGTCCATGACCAGCCCGTTGCGCCCGCCATTGTATGAGTAGGAGAAGAGCGAGTCGATACCGTATGCGACGGATGGTGCGCCGTAGCACTCGAAGAGGATTTCCGACATGGCTGTAGAGTTGATGTTAGCTGTACGCACAGTCTCATCTGTCATTGGCTCACGTACTCTTTCGTGAATAGCCCAGGTTCGCAACGGGCTCTGTCATGACGATGGGTCTATCTATGCGCCCGGAGCGTCCATCCACACCCATTTTGACAAAGCAGTAGTCAAGCACGCCCTCCATGACGTCCCAATTGTTTACGACGTTGCTGCCAGGCTCATAGACAGGCTTTGACTGTCCTCGTGCCGTACCGTCGGCGTAGACATCTGAGCCAACAAAGGTAAAGGTTCGGTTGAGCTTGCGGTCGCGGTACCTCGCCATGTTGGGCAACACTGATAACCGGGGTTTGGAGTCAAAAGACCACCCAGCGCGGACTGCGGACGAGCCTACAGTATGTTAGTCTGGGTAGAAACACAGGCGCATGTGCATTGCGAGCGTACCATTGTCGATTACGATGGCAGTTTCGCCGTTGCTACGCGACCATCCTTCTTTGTCGATGGGCCTGAAGCCTTCAAAAGGCGGTTCCGACACGCTCCAGAGCTTGGGTGGAGGTTTGGGTGGATTGCGCCCTGCGAGTTGGGGCGCCTCGTCGATAGCTGAGGGGGCCATGGCGGTGAAGTTGGAGATGGAGATTGGCCGAGGATCAGGTTGTTATTTCATATCGCGGACGGGAGATGTGGCGTGTGAGCTTGTTTAGCGCGACTGGTACTGAGGATGCGCGGCATTGCGGTTGCCATGTGGTGAGGCTCTTGCGATGCTCGGTGGTCCGAGCCCGTCTCCGTCCAGGGCCATGTTACGCTATTTCACATGACGACCATGCTCATTGCTGTCGTGCACGAAATTTGGACATGGTCATATCTCATTATTGGCTATCTACCCGCTCCATTCTGCTCCTTGTCTCCATAATTCCGGCTGTATGCGAGCTTTGGCTGTGCCGCGAGAAATGCAAATTGCACACCAAGAATACTCTACGTCGTATGCTTACGCAGGATCCTTCAGACCGTTTGTTGCTTTGGCCTGTCAGCTATGTCATACAGGATTCTCTACAGGACCGTATACCTTCCAGGTGAAAAAGAACGTTGGACTGGTAGTTCTTGAACATCTGAGCTACGAGCTCCGTGTCCATGTTCTGGATATTGATCTCTTGGAGATTTTTGTTTAGCATCATGATGGCCTCATTCAACTTCTCCTTTGGAATAGTCAGCATGCTTGTCTTGACTGGACCTGGAAACGTTTGGCTTGACTGACAACATTCACGATGATGCGAGAGAGCAGTTGGCTCTGTTGGTGCTCGTGTGGACTTTCCTGGAGACGTGGTCAGATTCACGCGCCGCTCAGGGGGCTGCTTCGTGACATCTCACCATTATTGTACCTCTGTGATATTGGCGTTGGTTGTACGCGTTCAAGTTGTCTGGTGGGGAGGATGAAAGCAGTTAGTGTGGGTATGCAGGTCCAGAGGTCGGGCGGGAGAGCTCCACCTCCGCAAGCTCCATCGCGATACAACACCAACGCTCTGCCACGCTCACATTGATTCCCGCCACAGCTCACGCACCAGCATCGCGACTTATCAGATCAGCCCATCAAAACCGGCCCCGCACGCGATCAACGTGGAATAACAACAGGCCGACAACGCGACAAGACAACACGGAATCGCAGCCAAGACACCCAAGCCCATCGACTGCGATTTCTTGAGATCCCGGAATCTCCAAGCATGGCACCATTAACAGCCGCCTCGGATGAGAAAACGCATCAGGCGCTTCTTGACAAGCTTGACATCTACGCAGTACCCAAGCCTTTCCGCAACCCAAACTGGAAGCCACCGCAGCGACGCAACAAGAACCTCAAGCAGATTCTCGGCGAGGCGTCACGCAAAGAAGCCTCAGTCATGGCCACACAGAACAACAGCGGTAACTCGACACCTGCCGTAACTGCTGAAGGCAACGCTGCTTCCGGCCGCGCACCGAACATCGCCCAAGCAGCCCAGAGTCTGAGCACCCTGGTATTGGAGAAGAACGGCAGAGCTGCTGCTGGGCCGGCACCTACATACACCAACATCGAGTCGGCTCCGAGCTTCCACCCGAGCAGTCAGAAGAAGTACTGTGATATCACCGGTCTTCCTGCACCATACACCGATCCCAAGACGCGTCTAAGGTACCACAACAAGGAGGTGTTTGGAGGCATCCGTACCATGCCACAGAACGTGTCAGAGGGCTATCTCGCCGCAAGAGGTGCACACACAATCTTGAAGTGAGCGTTACCTCGATGCCGAGGTAGCTCCTACTACTCCAAGGTTGATAGTATGACATGCGTCCTTCACAGTCGGCGCAACGCTGGATTCGACAGAGGCTCAAGTTCATTCACTTGTCCAAGGTCTTGCATCAAACAGGCTAATGAAATGGGTACAAGCCTGGTCAGAAACCCAGGTGTAATTGAGGTTATGTATGATCATCAAAGTCAAACTACTCTCCACCCACCACATGCCTTTCGGCTTATGGCTCAAGGAGGTGTTCCGGCTTAACCGTGATCCAGTATTCTTCTGCGCCCATAAGACAGTATACCAGGACCTCGAGGGAGGATTCCTAGTTACAGCAGCTTGAAGCATGCTGTTGTCAACGCGGGATCTACATTGTAATAGTCATTCAAGTATCTTGTAGCTGTAGAAAAGAAACAACGCATCAATTGCTCTTTCTTGCTGAGTGTTTGAATGTTGACTACCTGTTCTCACTTTGGATGGACGAGGGTTGTAGAGACTGAGAAGCATGATGCCAGAATTTTATGCGACAACCCGCGGGAACTCCAGCGCTAGCAGGGGTAAACTTTGGGCCGACCACCGACTGCGCGCGCCGCGTCTCAACTCTCACCAAGGGGACACGAGACAAGAAACCGACAGATACCGCCTTCGTGCCAGACGTACAGTGGAACCAGGTGCCAATCTACTACTTGTTCGCTATCTCCACGTCTTAAGTCTCCTCAACTATACAACCTCGCACGTTGCGCGCTGTACACATTCCGAATTTCCAAGATGCCGACTATGTGGCTTTCAGATACCCAGAGTATGTTGCGCCAACATGCAGCTTCGCGGTTACTGCATAGAACACCTGCTGACAACAGGAACAGAGATAGGGGTCGCTTTCTGCTCAGGGGGTAGGTACGCGCCCACTGCCACGAATGCGCTTACTGTTCAACATCGGATTGACAAGACGAACAGGCGGACTCTTTCTGATGGGAGGTGTCATGATGTTTTTTGACCGCGCAATGTATGTCTCATCTCTTCACATATACATACTTGCTTTGCTGACATGGTCATAGGCTCGCAATGGGAAACGTACGTTTATACCACACCTCCAAACCTCTACCTCTACCATCGAACCAGCTCTGATACCCCCTTAATAGATATTATTTCTAATTGGCCTCACACTCATCATCGGAACAACCAAAACCGTCGCGTTCTTTGCTCGCAAGCAGAAATGGAAAGGCACGGTGGCTTTTGTCGCTGGTATATCGCTTATTCTGATGCGATGGGCTTTCATCGGCTTCATAATTGAGCTATACGGCATACTCGTTCTGTTTGGGGATTTCCTGATGACAATCGCGGGTTTCGTCAGTAACGTACCGGTGATTGGACCGTATATTGCTAGGGCACTGGAGGCGATAAGTGGTGCGAGACGGAATGCCGATCTGCCTGTTTGAGATGGCATGGACAGCATCGACGTTACGATATGACGAAGTATGGATGGAGACTTTAGGACCTTGTATGATACACAGACGCACGAAGAACGGAAAGGCATTGCTTAACGCTGGGTCGGTCGTGACAAGCAGGATAACAGATAAGGATTAGCATTCGTATTCACGGCTAACAGATATTGCTTTGGATTGCTATCCATTCCAGTCAAAAAGAAGCATTACAATCTCAACGTAAACTGTAAAAACGTATTCCTACTTTGAAGTTTAGTGGCGCTATTCAGACGTCCCTGGGTACTCCAGATACTCAGGTACAGACTTAGAGAAAGGTCACAGCTTGTGTCTAGTTCTCTCAATCGATGCAGATATTCGTCGTGTGAGTCTTTGGAGCTCTCCAAACATACCGAAATGCTCTCAATTTGATACCCGGTCGTACTGGTTTTGCAGCGTCATCGTACAGCCACGACGGGTGAGGCAATGTGGTTAGAATGAGGAACACGTGCTTTCGCGTTCTCGCGTTTCCGGAATTTCCCCGCGATCGCGTAAGTACACCTTCTCCACACTCTACAGTACTTCTGCCGCACTGTCAAAGTTCCCCTCCTCTCGAGTCACTCACATTCAATCTCGCGCCAACATGTCCCGTGAAGAGTCACCCTTTGTACGCGCTCCTGCCGAAAGCGAGGACTACAGCTCGATCCATCGCGCGTTCCTACAAGCCTTCCAAACGCACAGCGTCCTCACAGTGGATCAAATGAAAGCTATCCTAGCTCATGTGATGACTGCATACAGTCTGTTTTCGAGCCCTCGGTTAGTTTCATACTCTGACAGCTGCAATAGACCCCGAACGCCCATGGACAGAAGGCGACGTGACCCAACCCTACATCACCTCCACCATCCAGACCATAAATGCCAAAATCGAAGCATTCGACTACGAGATCCGATCAACTCGCGATCAGCAGAGCAAAGATAGCATATATGCCCTTGTCAACAATGCCAGCGATGCCGTCACTCAACTCGCTACTACTTTCTCCGCAAACGAAATCGCCTACATAAGACGCGTCCTTGACCACATGTTCGAAACCAACAACACCAACATCCGCGAAGTCATGGCCATAAAACACACCGAAGCCTCGCAGCTCGCCCGTCTTTCACGCAGAAATAGGCAAAGTCAGGCAGCCAGCAGACAAAGTCAGATCAATGGCGATGTGGAAGATTCACAAGCCAACACCGACACAGGCATTTCCATTGCGGAAGCCGATCTCGTCCTGGAAACCCTTGTCAAGGAAGCCTTCTTTCAAAAGTCGAGAAAAGGTTACTATTCTCTTGCCCCACGCGCACTGATGGAACTGCGTGCTTACCTTAAGGAGACGTACAATGAGTCTGCTGAGGAAAACGAAGATGGGCGCGAAGTCATCAGGATCAGGGACTGTGAGGGATGCAGGGAGATTGTCACAATTGGCATCCGGTGCAACAATCGAGAATGTGGTGTCAGGTGGCACGATGCGTGCGCGAACAGTTACTATAGGAGCAGAAGAGGCAGCAGAGTATGCCCTCGATGTAAGACAGAATGTTCGGGAGATGTGTTTGTGGGAGAGCGAGCGGCTGGGACGGATGGAAGAGCGAGCACAGGCGGCAATCGGCGCAGCACGCAGAACAGAGACGAGGAGGACGAGGACGAAGAGGAAGATGAGTGAAGGCGCGGGCTGAGAGATTATAGCACTAATACCAAGATACCCATGAGTTCTCCGGCGTTAGACTCCATCACAACTTTGTACATGCGGAAAAACTTGTTTGGTTCCATCATATATTTCATCAATTGATCGTAAATCAGTCCCTATCATCACACCCATATTCCTTTCTGTCTGAACTTTTCCCAACGCCAGATATCCCCATACTATATACACAGTCCTGATCAATGCTCATCTCAATACAGATGTTTAGTGTACACCGTTAGACTTGGTCTTGTTCGCTCGCCTCTCAGCGACAGCAGACGCAAGGTTCTCAAGAGTGTCGACGGTGCTCTCCCAATCAATGCAAGCATCGGTGATGGAGACACCCTTCTTCAGGCCGCTAGGGCCCTCAGGCGGGACCTTCTGGTTGCCTTCGTTGATGTTGGACTCAATCATGACACCGACGATGCCGGTCTCGCCGTTGCGGATTTGGTCAGCAATGTCCTTGGCTACGAGGGGCTGGTTGCGGTGGTTCTTGTTAGAGTTACCTGTCGAAAGTTAGCGCCTATCCCTCTGCGATCGTTGGATTATAGAGCATACCGTGTGAGCAATCGACCATCATGACCTCAGCGAGACCCTTTTTCTTCAAAGCTTCTCTCGCGGCTTTGATGCTGTCCTTGTCGAAATTGGTACCCTTGGTTCCACCACGGAGAATGACGAAGCAGTGCTCGTTACCTGCCGTCCTGGTGATAGCAGCGAGACCCTGCTTCGTTACACCCATGAAGTGATGCTTAGCAGCGGCTGCACCAATTGCATCCACCGCAACGGTTAGGCCTCCATCAGTACCATTCTTGAAACCAATGGGGAACGAGAGGCCAGAGGCCAGCTCACGGTGCAATTGCGACTCAGTTGTTCGCGCACCAATGGCGCCAAGGGAGATGAGGTCTGCGAGGAACTGGGGGGAGATGGTATCGAGCATCTCAGACGCAATGGGCATGCCTGCGGATGTGAGATCCACGAACAGCTTGCGCGACACTCTCAGACCCTTGTTGATCTTGTAGCTCTCGTCAATGTCTGGGTCGTTGATCAGTCCTTTCCAGCCGACGGTTGTTCGTGGTTTCTCAAGGTAGGCGCGCATGATGATGCAGAGGTTGTCTTGAAGCTTGTCGGCGAGAGCCTTGAGGCGCTGGCAGTACTCGAGTGCCAGCTCTGGGTCGTGTAGCGAGCAAGGCCCTACCATGACCAGGAGTCGGTCATCCTTTTGTGTGATGATGCTGGCGGCTTCTTTGCGACCCTGGATAACGGTCTTCTCGGCGTGTGCTGGAATGGGGATCTCGGACGCGAGAAGTTGGGGCGGGATCAGTGGGTCGTAACCAAGGACTAGACAGTGGTGTTAGTACTGGCATCGAGAAGCAAGCGCTGGTGGAGATGTACCGCGCACGTCGTCGCTTGGGTTGGTAGAGTCATTGAAGGAAGACATGTCGGGTGTTTCTGTAGTAGCAGGAGCCATGACGGTAGTCTCTCTTTATATGTATATATATATTAGCGTGCGCCCTCTGAGCTGAAACAGGAAGAGTCTTGTTGCTCCGACGTACAGGGTGCGTAAGCGATGGTCGACTTGCGGTCAGTATTACTCCGACTGTGACACAGACGAAGGTGAATATACAAGTGCCAAGTGGTGCAGGGCGTGTTGTGTGACTTGACTCGAGAAATCAGGCGAACCAGATGTGCAATTGTTTGTCCTGGCGAGTGTGCAGACAATGTATGCAGGCGCAGGTCCGAGGTCGGCGAAGACTGTAGGTAAGGGACACAGCGAGCGCGTAGCAAATACAGTCATAAGCTAGCTGACCGGGATGTTGATCACCCGGGGATGTTGATCACTCACAAATCTCAGCACTCCCACACAAAACACGTGTTATCTCTCCACGTACTCAACCAAAATGGGCGACCGTGAAGCAGCTA